AACCAACCTCCCCCCACCAGTCCCCACTTACCTTCCTTGGCACCGTCATGATGATGGGCTCACACTTACGCTCATGCAGCTTGTAGAACCTGATGAGGCAGGGGGGAAAGGGTCATTAGAAGAGGAAATATGGGGATACGGGGGAGGACATCGGAACACCCAGGCACCCTCCGCCTCACCTGGCAATCTCACACTTGCTGACGTCCAACCCACGCTTGGGCATCCAGCCCATACCGCGCTGCGGCTCCTTGCTGGTGAATGTATTGAGGAAGTGGATGTAGGGTGGCTCCTCTGTGATCTCAAAGTAGCGGATGCTCGAGTCGCCCTACAGGCAGCTGGTGAGTATGGGGTGGGTGAGGAGGGGGCAAGGGAGGGAGGCGTGGGGTCATACTTTGCCACAGACGTAGACCACATTGGTGTCAGGGTCGTAGAAGGGCAGCAGGGCCCCGTTGCTAGAGTCCAGCTCCTGCAGACCCATGGGCTCCTCCAGGTTCTCCTGGGGGGTAGAGCGTCAGCCCCATGCTGCACCCCATACAGTCCCCCAAGGGACCCCTGCAGCCCCTCACCGTGTCCCACAGCGCTAGCTGCCGCTCGCTCATGCGGCTGAAGCCAGTGGTGAAGATCTTGCCATCAGCCAGGAAGATGGCACGCATGGGGCGTGCACCCTCGTGTGCCCGCTCTTTCTCCTGCAGGGTGGGAGCACAGCATGAGGGTAGCGGCATGAGACAGGTGGAGTGCAGCATGGGGTCACACAGGGGTCAGCAAAAGTGCCCCGCAAACAAGGGATGATGGGGAGACCCCATGGATGTGGGATACTGGGGAGGGACGGAAAGTGCCCCAGGGACAAAGGGATGTGGGGGACACCCAAGAGGTGCAGGGAGCACCTGGGGACAAAGACACACAGGGAATCAGGGAAGGATCCAATGTGCCCTGGTGACAAGGGGCAGGGATACTCAAGGAATCCAGGATAGCAAGGAGGAATGGGAAGCATCCTGGGGACAAGGGATAGGGGCACCTGAGGAATGCAAGGCTATGGGGGGCACCAGGCAGCAACTGAGGACAAGGAACTGGGGGCACACGAAGGATACAGGGAAGGACGTGGTGTGCCTGAGGGGCAAGGGGTAGGGACATCCCAGGGGATGCAGGTCATGGGGGGAAACAGGGAAAGCACTCTGGGGACAAGGCATGGGGACATCTAAGAGATGCAGAGTGTCAGGGAGATAGGAGAAGTACATCAGGGATGAGGGATGGGGACATTCAAAGGATGATGACAAACTGGAACAGGTTGCCCAAGGAGGCTGTGGATGCGCCATCCCTGGTGGTATTCAAGGCCAGGCTGGATGTGGCTCTGGGCAGCCTGGTCTGCTGGTTGGCGACCCTGCACATAGCAGGGGGTGGGAACTAGATGATCATTGTGGCCCTTTTCAACCCAGGCCATTCTGTGATTCTGATTCTATGATGGGGAGTATCAGTGAACATCTGGGGACAAGGAATTGCAAGCATTCAAGGACAGCAGGGAGCACCAGGGGACAAGGGATGGGAAGCACCCAAGGGACATGGGGACACTGCCACTCTGCTGTGTCACTTACCAGCAGCACGGTGCCGCGGCGGGGGTCGATGACACGCACACTCTTGTCCTTACAGGCAGTGCAGAAACGGCTCCCATCGCGGCTCCAGCTCACGCTGTAGATGAGGTCAGGGTGCAGGCCCTCCAGGCGGTACAGCTCCTCTCCCGTACCCACGTTCCAGATCAGCACCACGTTGTCACAGCCTGCACGGTATGGATGCAGCCCAACCACCTGTTCCCAGTGTCACCCAGCACCCTGCGACCCCGCACTGTCCCCATACCTGCACTGAGCAGCACGTTGCGGGTGCTGGGGTGCCAGGCGATGATGCCCACACGCTTCGAGTGCCCCTCCAGCACCACCACTGGCTCTGTGAGTGGCTGCACGAGGCCCCCCTCAGGCACCTGCCACACCTATGGGGAGTGAACAGCGAGAAGGTGTCCTCTGTGCCACAACATCCCAGTAACCCCTTTCCCATCCACCCCTCACCATGACAGTGCAGTCCTCGGAGCCACTGGCAATGACGTGATCGTTGTGGGGGCACCATTCGATGTCTAGCACAGGGCCTGTGTGCCCACACACGGTGGGATACGACTTATCAATGCGGCCAGTCTGGGGATGTAGGGACAGTGTGAGAGGTGGTCAATCCTTGTTCCATCTGAGCCCCACACCCCCATCTCCATCAATCTCAACACAGCCACAGCCCCATTTCAACGCAGCCCCATCTCCATCTCAACCCAGCCCATTCCCCATCCCGTCCCCACTCCATCCCTGTCCCCATCCAAACTCCATCCCAAGCCTTCCCCCTCCCATCCCACCCCCGTCCCCATCCCAGGCCATCTCCATTCTATCCTATCCCATCCCATCCCTCTCCGCAACACATCCCCATCCTGATCCCAAGCCACTTCAGTTTCCATCGTGTCCCCATCCCAAGCCATCTCCAGCGCCATCCCCACCCCCAGCCCACCTTGTGCAGGGGCAGCACCAAGAAGGCTCCGCCGCCGCTGGCCTCCACAATGATGGCTACAAAGGAGGGGTTGACAGCGCAGAAGGTGCTGTCCCAGGTGACGCGGGACACACGGATGTCATCGTAGCACTGCTCTGTCTTCACCGGCTGCCCGAAGACGTGCCGGAATTTGCTCTGCCGCACCACCTTACGGAACGACATGGCTGGGGGCGCACCCCGGCCCCGTGTCACCGGGGGGACCCCAAAACAGCTCTCCAAAGGAGCAGCCCTAGGATGGTGGCACTGAGCAGGGGGCTCAGCCCCATTACCCGCCCTGGGTAAAGGGCAACGGTGCTCCTCCCTGCACAAGCGGGAAACCGGCACTGGGCAAACAAACCCTGCCCTGTGGGTGTGGGGTGTGGATGGGGGCAGGGATTGCCTCCGTGGGGACAGGGAGGAATGGGGACAGGGACTGGGATGGGAAGTACTCTTTCGGGGTCAGGTGAGTGTCATCCCTATGGAGATAGAGATGTGGACAAGGATAGCCTCTATGGGGACAGGATCATTCCTCCCTGGAGAGGGATGGGAAAGGCAGTTTTCCTATGGGGACAGGGCTATTTTTCCCAGGATGGGGATAGGGACAAGGGTGGAGATGAGGACAGAAATGGCTACTTTGGGGACAAGGATGGGAAAAAAGGGATTGCTTTATAGGGACAGGATTGTCCTTTGTGTATTAGGACAGGGATGAGAATAAGGATCAGCTCTGTGGGAACAGGGATGGGGACAGGGATTGCTCCTGTAGCACCAGGACGGTTCTTCCATAATAGGGATGGGGACAGGGATGGAGATGGGGAGAGGGATTGTCCCTATAGGGACAGCATTGTCCTTTGTGGATGACGACAGGGATGGCTGCTGTGGGGATAGAAACGGTTACTGAGACAGGGAGAGCCTCACTGCGGACAGGGATGGGGACAGGACCGCCCTTCCCAGGACGGGGACAGGGACTGCTCCGGTGGGGACAGGGACGGGGACGCGGATGGTCCTCACAGGGACGGGGGTCGCCCCGACGGGGACACGGATGGGGCCGGGATCGCCTTTCTGTTATGGGGATGCGGACAGAGACCGGCCCAACAGGGACACCGACGGGAGAAGGGCCGGGGGAGCGGCGTGGGGATGGGTACAGCGCGGGAGAGCCCCGGGAGCCGCCCGCCCCGCACTCACCGGCGGCCGGGCCGGATCCGGTGCCGGTACCGGGACCGGGGCCGGGGCCGGGGCGGGCGGGCAGGAGGCGGGGCGGCGGTACGGAGCGGTGCCGAGCCGGGAGCGGGCGGGGGCACAGGAAGTGAGCGGGGCGCCGCGCCTGCGCACTGCGGCACGGAGAGCTCGGGGGCAGGGCCACGAGAAGGGGGCGGGGCCCGCAGGTTGGGGCGTGGTTACAAGAGGGGCGTGGTCAGTGAGGGGGCGCGGTGGCGTTGGGGGCGCGGTGAGGGGCGCGGCGGCGGCGGCGCTGGGCGTCCCGGTGTCGGCCGCTTTCCCGTCCCCGCACGGCGCTGGCGGCGCGGTGCCCCACGCTGGTGTCCAGCAGCAGGTAGAGGTAGGAGCTGACACAGCTGCCCAGGTGGAAGCCCAGCCGCAGGGCGTACAGCCAGCGGGTGCTCAGCAGCCGGGCCAGCTGGAAGGGCGCGATGGCAGTCGTGTAGGCGCCAAGCGTAGCTGCCACCAGCTGGAACCCCGCAGACGGCCCGCTGCCCGTAGCTCCCATGACGTCTCCTCCATAGCTCCCCGTCTCGCTGCATTCTCCCCCATTGCTTCCCATCCCATAGGTCCCCATTCCTCCAGGTCCCTCCCATTGCACCCGTCAGTCCCCATCAGTCCCCACCCACCTCGTTTTATCCTCTTCACTGTATTTCTCCCTTTGGATATAACTCCCCGTAGTGTTATCTCTGCCACGTTGCTTTCCATTCCGTAGACTGCCATCCCATTGAACCCCCCCATTGCTCCCCATCATCTGGATGGCTCCCGTAGATTCTCGCCCTTTGGATCCCCTCACATCACCCCTTCTCTTACTGTCCCCTCTCCCTGTTGTCACCATCCCATTGCATCCCTGCCATTGCTCCCCATTATTTGAATCCCAAACGTAGCTCCTTTGCATGTCCTGCATATTTCCCTACCCCATAGCTCCCATCCCTTTGGAGCCCTCCCCGTTGCTCACCATCCCCATCTCACTGTCCCACTCTCCCCATCCATCACACCTGACCTCCCTCTTGCCTCTCCTTCCCCACTTTACCCCACAGCATTCCCTCTCATTTATGCCATGCGGCATCCCGCTCGTGTGCCCCATCTCATCCCTGCCCCATAGTCCAGGCCAATAAATAGCATCTGACCTACTGTAACAGCTGTGTGGGTGTAGGCTTGCACTGGGGACCTCCGGGGCTGCCCTTTTTGGGGGGTTGGGTGGGTGGGGCTCCTCCCTGGCAGTGACACCCCCAATCTAATTTCCTGGAGGGGGGACAGGAAGCTGCTGCCATGGAGGGAGGAAGTGGCTCCGTTATCTCTTTTGGGGATGGTTGCCCATCCCCCCACCAGGGTTGTCATTCCCTGTGTGCTGGTACTATAGGATGGCCCCTGTGGGCTCCCAGCACCAAGGTTGCACATCTCTGGGCAGATGGACCCTTCTGGGGTGACCATGTTGGGAACAGTACCATGGTGTCCCCAAGATGGCATCTCCCTGCCAGGCACTGCCCACATATGCTGAGCTGGGGTGATGCTATCGTGGGGACACAGGGACTGGGGAGGGGACAGGTGCTGCTGCTTGCTGTCACACTGTTCCTGCTGCAGCCAGGAGATGCCTGGGGGGCTGGATGTGGGGACGTAAGAATGGGGACCAACAGGTGTCTGGGATGGAGACACGAGTGGTAGCGTTGGGGTGCTGGAGTTGGCTCGGTGTGAGTGTGGGGAGGTGGGCAGCCCATGTATGAGGCCACAGTGGGTGGCTCATTTCCTGCTATGGTAATCACTGCTAATTGGCTTTGCCTTCCCGGGGCTGGGGGGAGGGGGGCAGGTAAGAGGATTTCCTGGCCTCCTTCTTAAGGGCTGGCTGACCCCCGGCCTTGCTCCTGCTGCCACCACCACCCCTCAGCCCCATGCCACGCTCGAGGGGGGACAAGGGGGCTCCCAAGAACACCGAAGCCTCAGGCAAAGGGAAGCAGGGGGAGGTGGACGAGAGGCCCCCCAAAGCCCCTGAGGCGGGTGGCCCCCCGGGCAGCCCCAACACTGAAGCCCAGCACGGATGCCACGGGCAGAAGAACAGCAAGAAAGGGGCTGGGGACCCCCACGCTGCCAGCACCAAGGCGTATTCACCATTCCTCAACATGGTGTTTGGCAAGGTGGGGGCATGGGGGCACTATGGATGGAGGGGATATGGGAAGCTGGAGATGGGGCTGGGTTCAACAGGGGTGGAGGGGACGTGGTGCCATATGGGTACCATTGGGCAGAGTGGGGAGGTCTGGGGGCTCACCGACATCCTCCCCTCCCTCTGTGTGGGACTGGGGAGGGATTGGGGTTCACTGGGAGGGGGGAGCAGGGAGGCTGGGCTTGGGGATCTCTGCCCTGTCACTTCAGGAAACACCTAACATCCAGCAATGGGGCAGAACTCTGTTGGAGGTCAGAGGTCCCGGGCTGGGGGCATCAGGGTGTATGCAGGGAGAGGGGCTGACAGGGAGAGGGTCTGATGGGGTCGGCGGGCAGGGGGCCCAGGCAGGGCTTTGTCTTCAATCCTTCTAATCCCTCCTGTGGGAGTTAATTTTGTTCCACGCTTAACAAAGGTGACACTGTGGATTGCTTGGGTGGGGTGGGGGGCTGAGCCAGGTCTGATTCTACCACCACTACCCCTCTGTGCCCTGTCCCAGGAGCGGGAGCTGTCACCGGAGGAGCTGGATGGTGAGCAGTGGGGTCGGGGCATGGGGGGACATGGGTGTGTGGTGCCATGGGATAAATGCCAAGGAAGGACCTGCCGTAGAACAGAGTGCTGTGGGACATGGGCCATGGGTCAGTGCGCCATGGGGACGTGCCGTGGTGGGACCTTCCATGGGACATGGTGCCAAGTGTTATGATGGAACATGTAGATGTGAAGGTAGTCACCATGGGACATGATGCTGTGGGACATGGTGCTGTTGTGGTGCTATGAGACACGGTGCCACGGAGATGTGTGCCATGGAGGGATCTGCCGTGGGACGTGGTGCCATGGGATGTAGTGCCATGGAGGCTTGTGCCATGGAATGTTGCACGATGGGGACATATGCCATGGAGGGACTTGCCATTGGGCACGGTGCTATAGGACAGAGTATCATGGGTTGCAGTGCCATGGATTATGTCGGGATGCATCATGGAAGGACCTGTCATGGGACAAGGTGCCACTGTGGGCCATGTTGCTGTGGGTCACGGTGCCGTGAAAGGTTGTGCCATATGGGGACTCATGCCACAGAAGAATCTGCTATGGGAAGGGGTCCTGTGGGGCAAAGTGCCTTGGGGTGGGGTGCCATGGTCCCATTCCCGATGGGTCCCTGTGCCCACGGAACAGAGCTGCTGGATGCCTTCAAGGAGTTTGACACCGACCAGGATGGTTTCATCAGCTACAAGGACTTGGGTGCCTGCATGCGCACGCTGGGATATATGCCCACTGAGATGGAGCTCATCGAGATCTCCCAGCACATCAAGATGAGGAGTGAGTGCAGGGATGGCCTCTGCAGGGCCAGGGCAGTGGCATGGGGATATGGGGACAGGGCTGGGGCACTGAGGCTGTTCCTTCCCTTGGTACAGTGGGTGGCCGTGTGGACTTTGAGGACTTTGTGCAGATGATGGGGCCGAAGCTGCGGGAGGAGACGGCTCATATGGTGGGTGTGAGGGAGCTGAAGATCGCCTTCCGTGAGGTATGGCTACGGGGATACTACAGCCACGGGGACACTGCGGGCATGGGGACACCAGGGCCACAGGGACAGGCATTGGGACACTGTGGGCATGGAGACACAAGTGGCACTGACACAGGGACACCACAGCCATGGGGATGAGCACAGGTGTGGGAGGGACAGCAACCATGGAAAGACTGGGAGGGGACTGGGGAATGGTGACCACAGGGACACCACAGACATGGGAAGACCATGAGGGGACGATGGCCACGAGAGGCACCACCGGTGTGCCACGGACGACGAACACAGGAAAAGCAGGGGTTAAGGGACGGGGTGGGAAAGAGGCATGACGTGTATGCTGCAGTTCGATGTGAACGGGGATGGGGAGATCAGCAGTGCAGAGATGCGGCAGGCCATCGCGGCGCTGCTGGGCGAGCAGCTGAAGGCACAGGAGGTTGATGAGATCCTGCAGGATGTGGACCTCAATGGGGACGGCCGTGTGGACTTCGATGGTGAGGTCCAGCCCTATTTCCCCTCATCCCCATTGGGCGCGGCCTGGGACACGCGTCCCTGTGCCCGACGCCTGCCACATCGCCCCACAGAGTTCGTCATGATGCTGTCCTCCCGGTAATGAAGCTGTGGGGCAGCAGGGGGCCCAGGGCTGCCTCCTCTCCCTAGCGCTGCTCCAGCCATCAGTAGGGCTCAGAGCAAATGATGGGAAACACAGTGGGGCAGGGGCCCCCCCAATAAAGCTACTTGCTCACACTGGCAGGATGGTGGTGGTCCTTGGGGGAGGGGAGAGGCGGGATATGGGGGGGGGTGGGGGTAGCTACTATAAGGGGGCCCAAGGGACTGCCACCCCAAAAAGGGACAAGGAGATCCCAGATGCCTTGGGGACTGCACTGGGGGAGGACACATAGCTCTTGCAAGGGTCAGATGGTGGGCAGAGGAGATGGGATCCTGCAGCAGGTGACGAGGAGAAAGAAAAAGAGGGGACCTCCCGATGGTGATACTTTCATCCAGAAACTAAACCAGGTAGCTCAGTCAATAGAGAATTAGACCTCTTAATCTGATGGTCCAGAGTTCAAGTATCTGCTCAGAGGTTGCCCCCTCTTTTGGAACTGGAGGAGTCCTGTGTCCCAGCAGTGACA